GCAAATACATTTATATTGTTAAAAATGCAAATATTTGTCGTGAAATTACCTTTATATATTCTTCAAGAGCATAGATAAGATCATTGTTTTTTAAACACCCCGATTAGAAACTATTGTTTACATTTCCGACATAACCTAACTACTGCCGGAAAATTATTTATCATAAATACAGTTATCTGTAATTTACATTAACAGCCTGTAAATAATTGGTCACAAGATGTCACTTCATGTTTAAACTTTATAGGGACTCTAAAAATCTAGTGACTTTAGTTTTTGTAATATATATTCTTACACTTTTGACAATTAAATTTAAAAAAATCGTTATATTGAAAAACAACTAATTTATACTAAATCTACTAGAAAATCCACCATGGTGGATTTTTTAATTTTTTCCCACCAGACGGCTATGTATATCCACCAGATCTAGTAGAAAATCTACTGAGTTGGCAACACTGTCAACAACTGCAGGGCGTCTTATCATTACCAAACCTTTTTTCACCAATAACTTAAAAAAAGCAATATTGATAAAAATACCTGGAGGCCTACTAGATCGGAGATCCAGGAAGCATTTTTTTTCACATTGAGGTAAATATTTTTAATTTTGTTTGAATATTATTTTTAATTAAATTTCGTTTATTAGGATTGTGGTCTACTAGAGGAGATAATAAAACGAAGAAAAGCCCAGCTGAAAAAATTTGAATACCCTATGCAACCTTTTGCAGTAGCTGTGGGTCCTCTTAATAATATTGAAAAATATCTGGTAATTATAGTCCTAGAAGATAAATGCATTTATTACAAGTTTGATACAGCTATAAGGGCTTTAGAAATACTATACAAAATATTTCATGCTCTTGATTTAGAGTATCCTGCAGAAAGTCGCCACGTTTGGCAGTTTATACAGGAAGTAGTTTTTAAACATAAAGCTACTAGCAAAACTAGTAGTGCTACCACTGTTATTGTTGATATTAACTATCAAATAAAAAATCTTACTAAAAGTACTTAAGACTGAAATTTGTTTTTAGTTCATTTTTAATTTTTATTATTTGTAATTACTGCTGCTGCACTACTACAAAATTAAAAGTCTATATATATATATATATATATATATATATATATATATATATATATATATATATAAAAGACTGAAATTTATTTTTAATTTTTATTATTTGCAATTACTGTTGCACTACTACAAAATCAAAAAAAATATTTTGAGTATTATAATTATTGTGGCTTAGGTTTTATTTAAACTATTTAAATATATAAACAGGAGCTTCATTATGCTTGTTTATGGATTTTGTTCTTCCACAGCAAAAGATATAAAAACATTAGTTATTCATTTAAAAACCTTACATAATGTTAATGAAAATACAAAAATCATATGTAATCAAAATTTATGTTTTAAAAATTTTCCAAGTTTAAACTCGTATAAACGCCATTTAAAACAGCATATTATTTTAAATAAAGGACAATTTAATAAAAATGTTGATTCAACGGTTCCAATATTATCTATTGAAGCAGATTCTTCTAATTCTTCTAATATATTAGAAGAATCTGCTTCAGTAGATAATGACTTTTTAACTGATTTTGAAAAATTAAGTGATATTCCAAATTCTGATTCCGAAAATTATTTTAAAATATTTAAAGACCAACTGTATAAAAATTATTTGTCATTTTTTTCCGAATTTTATTCCCATGATAATCTGTGTAGAAAAGAAGTTCAAACTATTATTAAGAATATTAGTAAATTACTTGTTGAACCCCTAAATATTGGTTTATTGAAAAATGTATTGATAATCCTTTACTAAATAAAAATATAAATGAACTTAAAAATTTATTTAAGGGTTTAGATAGTGAATATTTGCGATTGAACTATCTTAAAAAGTCAGATAAATTTATTTCCCCTATTAAACTTATTGCAGGACCAAATGACAATATAAATTCAACTAAAAATTTAATATTTCAATTTATACCTTTGGGTAAAGTCTTAAAGCAATTTTTTGAATTACCAAATGTTTTTTCAGAAACTATTAAATATATAAATAACTTAAATAAAGACAAAAACTTAAGCAATATTATACAGTCACCATATTGGAAAAGTAAAACCGCTATTATAAAGACAAAATAATTTTCCCTTTGTTTATTTACTATGATGATTTTGAATCAGGAAACCCATTAGGATCTCATGCTACGATACATAAACTAGGTGCTGTCTATGCTTCTATTCCTTCTATACCAGTTCAATATCAGTCTCATTTAGAAAACATTTTTCTAACTGTTTTATTTCACACTTCAGATTTAAAATCATTTGGATCCAAAGCAATTTTTTATAAGCTAATAGAAGAATGTACATTACTTGAAGAAATTGGTATAAATATCATTACCTCAATAATGATATTTATACAATATATTTTAAGCTGTCATTACTTTTAGGGGATAACTTGGGATTAAATTCAATGTTGGGTTTTACAGAAAGTTTTAGAGCAAATTATTTTTGTCGGTTCTGTTTACTTAATAGGCAAGAGACTGAAGTAACAGCTGTTCAAAGTAATCAAAAATTAAGGAACAAGGAAAATTATAACAATGGATTAATTATTAATAATGTTTGTAAATCGGGAATAAAAGAAAATTCTATATGGAATTCTTTAAAAGGCTTTCATGTCACAGAAAACTATTCTGTTGACATTGCTCATGATATTTTTAAAGGTGTAGCTGCATTTGATGTAGCTGAGTTATTGCACCAATTTATTTTTAATGACAAATATTTTTCACTTGATACTCTAAATTTTCGGATTAAACATTTCAAATTCGGTCAACGTAATAGCCCTTTTTGCAAGCTAATAGAAGAATGTACATTACTTGAAGAAATTGGTATAAATATCATTACCTCAATATATTTTAAGCTGTCATTACTTTTAGGGGATAACTTGGGATTAAATTCAATGTTGGGTTTTACAGAAAGTTTTAGAGCAAATTATTTTTGTCGGTTCTGTTTACTTAATAGGCAAGAGACTGAAGTAACAGCTGTTCAAAGTAATCAAAAATTAAGGAACAAGGAAAATTATAACAATGGATTAATTATTAATAATGTTTGTAAATCGGGAATAAAAGAAAATTCTATATGGAATTCTTTAAAAGGCTTTCATGTCACAAAAAATTAAAAAATGAAATTCCTAATCTGATATTAATAAGGTGTGTGTGTCATTCTCTGCAACTTGCAGTTTCTGCAGCTGCAAAAGATTGTTTTCCCAGGAACTTGGAATTTCTTATTCAGGAAACATACAACTGGTTTAGTCATTCAACAATCAGACAATCCACATACAAAAAAATTTATGAGACATTGAATGAAAACCAATCACCATTAAAAATTGTTCAAGCTTGCCAGACAAGGTGGCTGTCAATAAAATCAGCGGTTTCTAGGATTCTAGACCAATGGGTGGAATTTAAGTGCCATTTTGACATTGCTAGACTTCAAGATAAGTGCTACACAGCAGAAATGCTGTATCAAATGTACTCAGATGAATCAAATCAAGCACTTATTTGTTTTCTCAGTCCCATTTTATATGAAATTCAAAAAGTAAACAAGCTTTTTGAGAGCAACACTATAGATCCTACAGTTCTGACCAGTAGTCTTACAGTTTTAATTGATTTATTAGTCAACAAAATAAAAATTCCTGGATAAAATATTAATATATTTGAAGTATTAATTGACGATTATGTAGACAGACGCTGCTATTTGTCATACAGTTTTGAGAAATCCATGAGAGAAATGCTAGAAAAAGGATTTTCTGCTGCAGCAGAAGAACAACTAAGAAGTCGTTGCATTCAATTTATTATTACTCTAATTAATCAAATAAAAAACCGTTTACCTGAAAACATTAATTTGTTACAAAAAATTTCAACTTTTGGCGTAACCAAATCGTTGGCAGCAAACAAGCCAAATATCAGTGATATTCTTGTGCAATTTGGAAAAACAGGCAATGAAATTTTTAAAATTGAGTCACAGTGGAGCAGCATTCATCTATTGCGCTGGAACGAGTTAAAGGACACGATCAAGTTTTGGACAGAAGTTCATAATTACCGTGATGCTTGTGGGGAAAATTCTTTTAAAGAGCTATCCGACTTTGTTCTAGAAATTCTTATAATACCCCATTCAAATGCTGATGTTGAGCGAGTTTTTAGCAATATGAACTTGATAAAAAACAAACTAAGAAACAAAATGCAGTTGTTAACAGCTATTTTACTAATAAAAAGTGCACTGAAGAGAACTAGAACCTGTTGTGATACATATAAATTGCCAGAATCTATAGTGGACAAAATTAAAACGACTAATACCTATGTAGTTAATGAAGATGACATAGGTGCTTTTGACTTAATCTGATTATTTTTAAATATAATATTTATTATTATTTATAGAAGTTATATTTATTTTATTTTGTGTTGTTTCTTTTTTAAATTAATTGTGCTATTATAATTTATCAAAATATATAACCCCCCCCCCGCTTTTCCCTATTTTTTGACACTATCCAATTTCTGGTGGTTTCTGGTGGATTTTATTTAGGCTTTTGGTAGAACTACTTCATCTCATGTTGGCAACACTGTTTGTTGGTCTAAAAATAGTTATTCATGTTTAGGCTAAGAAAGGAGTCTTTTTGAGCTGAGCGTAATTAAGTCAAATGGCATACAATATTTAGGAAGTGAGATAGTAAAAAGAAAGTTATCTTTTTTGCTTTATTACTTAATATTTAATGAACATGGCAATATTGATCAATTAATTAAATAATTAATTTATTTTAGGCTCCTAAATAAAATTTAAAAATCTTACCAATATCTGGGGCAATAAATTCCAATTTAATTTTTCTATCTTTAATTTCATTTATTATAGATTGACCAATAATGTAAAAATCTTTATAAATTAAATCAGTCTTATCGGGATATAATATATAAAGTATGATTCCAACTAAAAAAATTAAATTAAATTAATAATCATATGTTTATATTTATAATTTAATGTTTACCAAGTCAGATCCTTCATGTATGTTTAAAATTGGAAATGAAGAAAAAATATCTGATATACTACATCTATTAAATTTTTTCTTTCGGTACAGATGAGTATCTTCCCAAAATTGTTGTATTTTGGTAATGGGTTCGGTTGCTCCCCTCAAAAAATTAATTTTTTCCAAGATTGACTCATCAGTAACAAAAACCTCCTCAGATTTTCTTTTTCTGCTGCTTTTTGAATTAGAATTGTCCAAGATACGCAGAGCAGCTTTAACATTTATATATTTGGACCATAATTTTACTCGAGCAGATGTTCTGGTTTTAATATTGTCATGGTAGTGAGTTCTATGTGGTGTATAATAGGTCTCCTTTTCTTCTTGGGGAAATAAAGCACAAATATCTTCACTTAATTTGGTAAATCTTGTTGAACTAAAAAACATTGTTATTATCAGATAACTTTAAAATTAAAAAAATAAGTATGTATTACTTAAATGCCACTAAAAGCAATGTTAAATGTTTTTTAATAAAATTATACTTACTCATATGTAAAATTTTCAGAATTAGATATAAGATTATTTATAATTATTTTAACCAAACTTGCTCTTAATTTATTTGTTAATTTGTTTTTATTTGCCAAAAGAACCCTACCCTCGGCAGATTTATTTAATAAGTTTTCCAGCTCCTTAAAAGATAAAATAATAAATAATATATTAAAAATATAACCTAATTAAACCTTTGATTTTTTTGTTGAATATGAGTCAGTTTGTGAGGTGCTTGGTTCTGATGTTGATTGAAGTGTGTTAAGTGAAGAGCCTTCAATCAATGGCTGAGATGTAATTTCCGAGGCAATTTCATTAAGGAAACTAGAAAATTCCTCATCTGGGCTTAACACTGTACTATCAGAATATGTGCTGTTAGAAACTGTGTATATTGACAAATTCTAAATTTCATTAGTAATACCAGCACCGCTTTCACCCCAAATTTTAATTTCTTGAAGTTAGAAAAATGTTTTTTAAAAATAAGCCTAGGGCCTAATTTTTTAAACAACCCTGCTATATCCACCTCATCCAGCAAATCAAAACTTTCCTCATTTATTCCTTCTTCTACAAAATAAAAAAACAATTGCAAACAAAACTGGCATTACTTATATTATTATATCAATGATGCCGATTAGAATATTGCTTACGCTATATTATATTATTATTTAAAAGCAGTTTATTTAAAAGAACCAAATTATTTAAAAGTCAAAATCCGACAAATAAAGTTTATATTATATTATATTAAAGATATACATAGGTACTTACCAATGAATATTTCCTTGAAGTCTTCCAACCCCCAATCTTCCAGCAATTTTAAAAACATATTTAAAATTCACCATAAAAATACACAAATTACATGGATAATACCGTTGAGTGAACGGGAACCTTAATCATATAATATTATTCTATGCAAGCACGTTAAATAAACGCACGTTGTGCGCCGCGATAACGAAATAGAATGACCAAATAAAACGACCGAGTTCTTAGTCAATAATCGGAAAAAAGGTTCGGATGTTTTCGGTTCACTAAATTTTAATAACCTGTTACTTAAACCTATTCAACACATTATTTAAATCTATTAATCCATATTTTTATTAAACAAACATCTTAATTTTAATGATTTTATTAAAAGGTTCTAGTTACTTAAATTTCAGGTATTAGGTTGAATAATAATAATTAACAACATATTCCATTTCAAATGTTCAGTTTAATAAAAATAAAAAACATGTTTCAGGAATTATGTTTTATCTAGAATAAAAACGTTTTATTTGGTGTTATTAAAATTTGTTTTAAATTAATTAAAATTTTGTTAGGAACTCTGTTTAATAGGACGATTTTTCTCATATATATGTTACGCCGAATTTGCGTAATTGCCGATTTCATGTAATAGGCAAAACTTTGCCTAATTCATGAAATCGGCAACGGACTTGCCGATTTCATATAATGGGCAATTATTTTAATTAAGTTTGCCTATTTCAACGAATAGGCACACAGATAATTTAATAATTCACATGAGCTTTCAAATATTTTATTACAAAAATAAAAATGGTATATTATGTATCAAGTTTAATAAACGCCATTTTATACACGAATTTAATTTAGGCACGAGCGAGCTTGCGAGCGAGTGCTTAAGTTAATGAGTGTATAGAAAAGTTTATAAACGAGGTGCATACTATACTTTTTCTACGACAAATACTTATTAATATCTTAAAATGATTTAATTCAAAAATTTGTATAGAACGCCATCTATGAAACAACAGGGGAAACTGTCAAATGTCGTAACATATATATTGAAAATTTATAAAAATTGTTCATAATTTATAAATAAATAAAATTGATTATTTAAAATTGAAATTAGAAAACATTATTGATAACACTAGTTTAGAAGAATTTCCTCATTGAACCAAAACTACTTTTTCTAAGGTAAAATTTTGTGCTGATTCAGAAAATCGTAGTGGTTTTCCTGGTTTAGCTCTAGATTTCGAGATTTGCATGAAATCTCAAAAAAATGCAATGTTACAGAACATTTCAGCCAAAATTGTTATTTAATATTAACATAATCCCAAATGTTTAAAGCTATAAGAAGGAAAGTGTAATACAAATTTTAAGGTGTAAAACTAAAACATTAGTGGTTTGGTCGTAGGACCAAAACCAGGTAAAAAATCTTTTTTTCTGAATTTAAAAAAAAATCAACTTTGGTCCAATGTAAATAAAAAAACACTTTGAAATATAAAAAGTTGGCCCCCCTATATTCTAGAGAATTTTTATAAATAAATAACAAAAAACTAAAAAAAAACGGTTTTGATAATTTTTTCCCCTTATTAAATCTAAAAAAAATGTAATATTATAAATGATAACATTTTTCATTGCTTCAAAAAATGTACCGTACATAATCTAAATAAAAATAAAGGGCATTACAAATATTAATTTAATTTTTTTATTTACATTTTTAATTATTCTTTCTTCGATTATTATTTTCCACTGCTTTAATATACCAGTCTCTTCTTTTTTTGGATTAATTTGAAAATTTCTCAATATATTAATTTATTATTTCTTATTTACGACAAATAACATCAAATAATTTACTCATCTTGTTTAACTTTGACAGGTACCACAAACTACAATAGATATTTTACCTTGTTCTCCATACACTTTTACAAATTAATATTAATTATTTACGTTTAGGTATTACGCCTTTGCTGATTTACTCCCCACGCGTAACATCATAACAAAAAGTAAGAATAAATAGGTTTATAAATATTTAGTAATATTATAATAGTACTTGCAATAAAAATATTTAAAATGATCTACAAATATTGTACTTGTGAATTGAAAAAGAACTCAGCAATGGACCCTATTTTTCATGCGGCAACATTTTCTTTATCTTCTTAAAATTACCTCTATACAACTTAAGGCCCCTTCTAAAAACAGCTTTGTCCTTCTGGGTCCATTCTTCCAAAACTGGAGCGTAGTTGGCCAAATCTTGCTTAGCTTTTTCATAATCATAACGATGAAAAAACGCCATTGCCAAAGCTTGTTCTTCGCTATAATTATGCTTTGTCTTGGCAAAATCCATGTATTCATCCAATTCGATGGAATCTTCTGTGGGTAACCAAACTCGTGAGGATTTTTCTTCCGTATTCTTACTCAATTGTGTTTTTTGAAACTCTGGTAATTCGGCTTGGTACTCATTTCACACTCTTATCGAGGAATAGAAGGTTATTGTTCTTTTTTTAGAATTTGTTCCGTTGTTGGATGTGGTTCTTTTTCTTTTACGGATGTTTTCGGTAGAAGGTGCCATGTCAAGTTAATAACTAATATCGTTTCTTTAATTTTGGCTATAATAGTTAGAAAATACTACCTATTTTTAAATAATTTTAAAAACAAATACAATTTTTAATCCTGTTTTGAAAATATAGGTATAATATTATTTTGAAATAATAACAACTACTTTTTTGGTAATATGTCAACAGGTAATAAATGGGCGGATTTTAGGTGCAAATTAAACCTTTTAATACAATATTAAATTTTATCAAAATAATTCATCAAGCTTCTTTTGTTCATTTTGCATTATTTATAAGGTAAAAGTTGGCCAAAATAGGAATTTTATTAAACAAATTATAATTAATATAAATTAGATATATTCCAAATTATTTCTATAGAATATTAATCAAATATTGAAAATTTTATGCTTGTCATATATGATACGAACTAGATTGTATTTTTTACGAATTTTCATTGTAGGAAAAATAAATGTTGTCTTTTCCGTGACGCAAAAATAAAGGGCATTACAAATATTAATTTAATTTTTTTATTTACATTTTTAATTATCCTTTCTTCGATTATTATTTTCCACTGCTTTAAAATACCAGTCTCTTCTTTTTAAGATTAATTTGAAAATTTCCTTTAACTCATATATGTATATATTAATTAATTATTTCTTATTTACGCCTATAAACATCAAATAATTTACTTATCTTGTTTAACTTTGACAGGTACTACAAACTACAATAGATATTTTACCTTGTTCTCCATACACTTTTACAAATTAATATTAATTATTTACGTTTAGGTATTACGCCTTTGCTGAGTTACTCCCCACGCGTAACTTCCTAACAAAAAGTAAGAATAAATAGGTTTATAAATATTTATTAATATTATAATAGTACTTGCAATAAAAATATTTAAAATGATCTACAAATATTATACTTGTGAATTGAAAAAGAACCTAGCAATGGACCCTATTTTTTTATGCGGCAACATTTTCTGTATATTCTTAAAATTACCTCTATACAACTTAAAGTATAGATGGGCGGTTCTAAAAAAAACCGGTTTTCGGTTAACCGGTTTAAAAAAATTCCGGTTTAATTTGCTCCGGTTAACCTGGTGAAAATAACCGGTTTTCCAAAAAACCGGTTTTTTATTGTTTTTTTAGAGAAATTAAAATAAGAAAACAAGAAAAAAATTATTTATTATATATTATATTTCCCAAAATGTTTCATCTAATGACCCTAGGAAAACTAATTGGTCTGTATGAGCTGGTGTTAGGCGGCTTCTTTGGTCAGTGCAAATATTATTTAATAATGAGACGAGTCGTTCTGAAGCAACAGAAGAACCTTGAGCCGTTAAATATTTTATAGCAACTTTATATGTTGCTGGAAATGTGGTTCTATTGTCTGTCCAATATTGAAGTGGATTCTGATTTCGATGTTGTTGTTGTTAAAGATATACATAGGTACTTACCAATGAATATTTCCTTGAAGTCTTCCAACCCCCAATCTTCCAGCAATTTTAAAAACATATTTAAAATTCACCATAAAAATACACAAATTACATGGATAATACCGTTGAGTGAACGGAAACCTTAATCATATAATATTATTCAATGCAAGCACGTGCAAATTAAATAAACGCACGTTGTGCGCCGCGATAACGAAATAGAATGACCGAATAAAACGACCGAGTTCCTAGTCAATAATCGGAAAAAGGTTCGGATGTTTTCGGTTCACTAAATTTTAATAACCTGTTACTTAAACCTATTAAACACATTATATAAATCTATTAATCCATATTTATATTAAACCAACATCTTAATTTTAATGATTTTATTAATAGAACCTAGCAATGGAACCTATTTTGTTTATGCGGCAACATTTTTTGCATCTTCTTAAAATTACCTCTATACAACTTAAGACCCCTTCTAAAAAGAGCTTTGTCTTTCTGGGTCCATTCTTCCAAAACTGGAGCGTAGTTGGCCAAATCTTGCTTAGCTTTTTCATAATCATAACGATGAAAAAACGCCATTGCCAAAGCTTGTTCTTCGCTATAATTATGCTTTGTCTTGGCAAAATCCATATATTCATCCAATTCGATGAAATCTTCTGTGGGTAACCAAACTTGTGAGGATTTTTCTTCCGTATTCTTACTTAATTGTGTGTTTTGAAACTCTGGTAATTCGGCTTGGTACTCATTTCCCACTCTTATCGAGGAATCGAAGGTTATTGTTCTTTTTTTAGAATTTGTTTCGTTGTTGGATGTGGTTCTTTTTCTTTTACGGATGTTTTCGGTAGAAGGTGCCATGATAATGTCAAGTTAATAACTAAATATCGTTTCTTTAATTTTGGCTTTAATAGTTAGAAAATACTACCTATTTTTAAATAATTTTAAAAACAAATACAATTTTTAATCCTGTTTTGAAAATATAGGTAAAATATTATTTTATTATTAATATTAATTAATTATATATTAATAAATGGGCGGATTTTAGGTGCAAATTAAACCTTTTAATACAATATTAAATTTTATCAAAATAATTCATCAAGCTTCTTTTGTTCATTTTGCATTATTTATAAGGTAAAAGTTGGCCAAAATAGGAATTTTATTAAACAAATTATAATTAATATAAATTAGATATATTACAAATTATTTCTATAGAATATTAATCAAATATTGAAAATTTTATGCTTGTCATATTGATACGAACTAGATTGTATTTTTTACGAATTTTCATTGTAGGAAAAATAAATGTCTTTTCCGTGACGCAAAAATAAAGGGCATTACAAATATTAATTTAATTTTTTTATTTACATTTTCAATTATCCTTTTTTCGATTATTATTTTCCACGGCTTTAAAATACCAGTCTCTAATTTGAAAGCAATGGACCCTATTTTTTTATGCGGCAACATTTTCTGTATCTTCTTAAAATTACCTATATACAACTTAAGGCCCCTTCTGAAAACAGCTTTGTCCTCCTGGGTCCATTCTTCCAAAACTGGAGAGTAGTTGGCCAAATCTTGCTTAGCTTTTTCATAATCATAACGATGAAAAAACGCCATTGTCAAAGCTTGTTCTTCGCTATAATTATGCTTTGTCTTCGCAAAATCCATGTATTCATCCAATTCGATGGAATCTTCTGTGGGTAACCAAACTCGTGAGGATTTTTCTTCCGTATTCTTACTCAATTGTGTTTTTTGAAACTCTGGTAATTCGGCTTGGTACTTATTTCCCACTCTTATTGAGGAATCGAAGGTTATTGTTCTTTTTTTAGAATTTGTTCCGTTGTTGGATGTGGTTCTTTTTCTTTTACGGATGTTTTCGGTAGAAGGTGCCATGATAATGTCAAGTTAATAACTAAATATCTGTAATGTAATGTAGCCTCCAAATGAAAAATGCTGGACTTTAGTCCAAGCAGGAGTCGGCCAGAATGGGCCTTTGACTCCTACTTATCACGTTATTTTTGACATCATATTAGTTTTGAATTTAACAAAATTGTGCATAGGGACCCATGCACAATTTTGTTGTCATATTTTTAAAATGTTTACATGAAAATCTGAATCTGAATGTTGTAAAAAAATGTATAGAAAGTATTGGACCGCCAGCGGCCTAAATTTTCTATAGCAGGGGGAGGGCAGTGAACTAACTATAGAAGTTAGACACCACCCCCGTCTGCATGAATTGTGCTGAAACTGAACTGTAATTAAATAATATTTGCAGTGGTTTAGTAAAGACAAAAAGTATTGTGCAAAAACATAATCACGCGCTTAAAACTAAGTTAGTGTATTAGTAAAACAAAAAGTCAAATAATAATAAAAAGCCAACCATTAGTTAGGCAAGTACAGGCAGTGTTAGATTGTGATTGGGAGTTTGATCTTTATGTTTTTTTTCCTTTATTATATATATATATATATATATATATATATATATATATATTTTGTTTTATTTATTATCAAGAGCTCCATCTTTTCAAAAGCAGTTTACAATAAGAACAGAAAAAAATATAGAACAGAATGTTATATGGTGTAAATATTTACAAGCTAAAAGCAGTATTGCAACAAAAAATCAAACAGAACAGTAAGAATGTATATATATAAAAAGACAGGTAGTATTGTTTAAGCAGTGCAGGTTAAAATAGACAATGTTGAGCAGTAAAATAAAATAAATAAAAGCAATGCAAGTACAAAAGCAAGGTATAACAAAATATCCATAGTAAAAAACAAAAAGCTAAAGCCAATACAAACAGAATGAATAAAAGCATGTAAAACACATATAAAAACCGTCAAAACAAACAGAATAAATAATAAAAGCATGTATCTACAGGTTAAAAGCAGTATTTTGTATTTATCACAGTAAGTTAATGTGTTAGGATTTGGTGGTAAGGATAATGGACAGACTAGCCTGGGTCGTGGTTATAGTTCGTGGCACCTCTTGCACCCTTGTACCTTCTTCGGTCGTTAAAGTTGTAACTGATACTGTCCAGGGCCAGGGTGTTTTCGCAGTTTTCTCCTCGTTCGAGAGTTTTCGCTGCCGCGTTCTTAATGTGATCCAGCATGGTATCGAGTTGCAGGTCATTGCGCAATTGTTGATTTCTCACATACCACGGGGCTCCAGTAATTCTTCGCATTAATTTATTCTGGATGACTTCCAGCTTGCTTAGATGTGTTTTTGCCGCCGTTACCCATACCGCCGCAGCATATGTGAGGGTGGGTCTGATCATTGAGGTTCAGATTAGCCTTCTGTTTTTTAGGTTCATTCTGTTGTTAGGGTGTGTTGTTGATTTGATATTTTCCATGATGTTATAGGCTTTGGCTCGAATAATTTCTATATGACGCTTTCAGGTAAGCTTTCTGTCTATGTGGACTCCCAGGTATTTTACGTGCTCTGCCCAGGGCATGAATGTGTCGCCATATTTGATTCTCTCTGGGATGGTTCTGCCCCCTTTAGACAGAATTATAGCTTGGTTTTTCTCTGGATTTATCTTGATCCTCCACTGATCAGCCCAATCTTCTTGCCTGTCACTGCTTGTTGGAGCCATCTATGAATAACATCATCTCTACGATGGGTAACACAGAGGGCGGTATCATTTGCATAGAGCGCATAGTTGACCTGCTCCATGCGTGGTAGGTCTGCGGTGACTCGAGGATTCGCATTAGTTGCAGTTCAGTTGAGAGTTTTCTTCTGAACCCAAATTGCTCTTTTGGAAGGATGTTAAGTTCCTCAATTTCCTCCTCAAGTCGTATTTTTATGATTCTCTCGCAGAGCTTACCCGTTGTTGTCAATAGGGAAATAGGCCGGTAGTTTGAGGGGAAAATGACGTTATTGGTGCCTTTGGGAATCATAACTACAGAGGCCTTTTTCCATGGTTCTGGGAAATGGGACAGTTGCAAAGCTGAATTGATGATGTTTACCAAAAGAGTGGTTGTCTGGTCAGGAAGAAGTTTTAACGCTTTATTGGGAATGCGGTCCCCTCCCGGGGCTGCCGTTTTCTTCAGGGCTGTTATGACTGACTTTACTTCGTCTTTGGTCGTGAGTCTTATGTTGGCGAGGGGGGGAGCTTTTTGATATGTTCATACGCTTCCCTGACTGCCCTATTTTCTTCTAGGTAGTCGTCTGAGGCAGGATTGGGTGTAAACTGGTCCTCAAGGAGATTGGCAAAGATTTCAGCTTTTTCGTCGTCTAGGCAAACCAGGCCGTTGGGCCCGTGAAGGGGATGAGTCGTCCTTTTTGTTTTGTTTCCTAGTGTCTTGATGACTCTCCAAAAGTCCTTGGAGCCTAATTCCAGGGATTCTAGCTTTTTTTGCCATCTGTCATTATGGAATTCTCTGAGCTCTGTGGTTAGTTCCCTCTTTAGCCTGTTGAAGTAGGCTTTGTCGGCTGGGTTGAGGGTGCGTTCTGCCCTTTTTTTGCATCCCTTTTCTGCTGTATGAGTCTCCTGATTCTGGGAGTGATTACAAAAGGGGTTTTGAGTCTGCAGTGTGGTGGTGTATGTGGCGTCGGTTAGGGATTTGGCTATCAGTTCAGCAAACGTTAGTGCTTGCTCGTCCAGTTGCCTGTTGGTGTTCGGTGGGGTAAGTGTTGGTGTGTTTCGTTTTAGTTCTTGTACGAATTTGGGCCAGCTGGTCTTTTTAATGGTTCTATAGGTTGTAGTGTTCCGGTTTTGTCCCACCTTGAGGATAACAGGGTTGTGATCCGAGGAGGAATGGTACGAGGTTTCTACGGTGGTGTTATGGTGAAGGTCTTTTAAGATATATATGTCCAACACATCAGGTCTTGTAACACCGTTAAAGAAGGTGGGTTCTCTAGGGCCTATGACTTCCCAGAGTTTCCTGTTTGCTGTTTCAGCTAGGCGCTTTCCTTTAAGGTTGGTTACTCTGGGTTTTTGGCGTTCATATCACCACCTATTATGATAGGTATGTCTTCTTCCATGATGTCAATGTAGTCTTGCTCGTGATAAGGGATTTGCGGCGGGTGGTATGCTGCTACTACTTTTATTCTGCCTGCGAAGGTTGTGTTAATGGAAACTGCGCAGGCCTCTAGGCCGTTGGTAGGTAAGTCTGGCACAGAACAATGATCTATGTGGCTTTTTACATAGACAGCGACTCCTCCACCTCTGTTGTTGTGTCTGGAATTGAAATAGCCTGTGTAACCAGGGATTTTTGGAGATTGATCAGGGGTTAGTCTGGTTTCGCAGATGAGCAGGATGTCCGCTTTTTCTTCATTGGCCAGGAGTGTCAGTTTTTGTTTTTTTGGTATAAGACTGTTGGAGTTCCAGCTTATAATCTTTAGGTTGCTTGGCTTTGTTTTATTATTCATAGGTTGTGTGGGTGTAAAGAGTTAACTTGGTTAGCCTCCTGTGCCGCCAATCTGGCTTCCAAGTTGTTCAGTTTACTTAAAACTATGGTCATAAAATTGCTCAGATCTGTTGTCGTATTGGATCCTGCTTGCTGGTTTGGGCTAGTACTGTTTTGATGGTTGTTGATAGCCTGGGCGTAGGATATACCTGGTGTTGTTGTGCTGTTGATATTATTGTTCCTGTTGTTCCTTTTTACAGAGTTTGGATTTTTTCTGCAGGTCAAGGAATTGGCCGTGTGCTCACCTCTGCAGTTGGCAAAGGTTGGTACATCAGTTTTAGCTTTCTGGCATTCAAATGACTGATGGTCTTCGCCACACTTGACGCACATGGGTTTTGCTCCACAATTGTCTTGCCCATGACCAAATTTTTGACATCTGTAACACTGGGTAACAGAGTCACCTCTCTTTAGAACCTCTACTTTGATTCGCATATGACATACATAATTTTAATTTTGGCTTTAATAGTTAGAAAATACTACCTATTTTTAAATAATTTTAAAAACAAAATTAATTAACGAATAGCCATTTAATATTTAGATTTCACATATTTATTGGTTTATGGTTAGTTAAACACAAATGGTCTTTGTCGCCCTAGGGCGGTAATATTATTGCCCGACTCCGCCCACCGGGCACAATCTGACACTTGGCGCCCGACTTACATGCATGCAAAGCCTTATTTCAGAGTAGGTTTGACACAAAATAAATTTATATTCTTTTTTTAAACAAATTCTAGTGTAATTAAAACATTAAAAGGATTATTAACAAGCAAAAAAATATATTTTTAAAATGATTAAGCATTTTTATATAAGATTTTTTAATATGCATATGTATATTATACATGTATATTATAAACGTACGTGTATTTTTTAGTAATTTTTAAAATGTGAGCGATTCTCCATTAATGTATCTACAATATTCTTTAATATTTGTTTAAATGCGAAATCAAATAAAAAAGTTATTTGCGATTGAAATTCATCGAAAATTTTTGTGGATCGATTATTTTGCCTGTGAGTGTATATATGAAAAAATATATCCAGAAGGTAAACACCTATAATAAAGATATAATTAAAAAATATAAAATTACTATTATGTTAATCATATCAAATATCTTTGATGTATTTTTTTCTGACCGAAAAGCTGAATGCTTCAAATCAATTAATTTATTAGTTTATTTGTAAAAGAATTACCCCTAACAATGTACTTGGGTGAAAATATTTATTGATACATTTTATTATTATTAGAAACACACATACCTTTCATTAATGTTTACTTTTTAATAGAATACTTAGATAATTAAAAAAATACGATTATGATGTTTAATAGGCATTCACATATAAATAAATATTTTTTTAAATAAACTTGTAACTTTATAAATTAAAATTATTAGTAGAAATAAATAAATAAGTAGGGCAAAAGATTATAAAATAAAATTACTATTTTGTTTAAAAAATATATGTCAAATTTTTACTTTTTACGTCTGATGGCTTCAAGTCTTCGCGTTAAAGCCGTTTTCTGGTGGTGATTTTCAAGGGTTAACTTATAAATATTACCAAACTCTTCATCGTTGATTATACTTTGGTAATATACTTCCATATCCGATGGTAGAACACTGAAGCCTATACTGGAAACTTCCAGTGAAAACATAAGCGAATTTTTCACATATTTTTCTTCAGTGGTCAGTAAAGTCGTTCTTACATCCAAAATTATTTGATTAAACTTCTCCCTTTGATTCTCTTTGAGTAAAACACCGTTTAGGAACATTTGCGAGGCAAATAATTTAACATTTTTAACTTCCTTCGACTTTAATAACAAACTCAGCAGTGTTATCAAAGGTCCGCTTAGAAACACTAAAACCTCACCTGAAGCAGTGCGAGCTTTGTTGTAAAAAAACCCAAGTATTCTTACGGACATTCTGGAACCATCATCCTTCACAAAGCCTGATTTCTTGGTAGAATCGAAGTTTTTATGCATACATCTAACGAATAATGAACGGACGTTCTCCCCTGCTACTTCCAGCGTCAAAAATTTCTTCGATGTCAACAATAACAAAACTTTTGCTGACAAAACTGCATCCTTCAGGCTATTTTTGTACAGAGACTTGACACTTTTTTGTACATCCTCTTTGGTCGCGCAGTTTGCAGTCCGTGATTCCAGAATGAACCTTATTTTTTGGTTAAAACGAATTCCATCATCGTTTATGTCCAAGATTTTGATTCTCGCTTGGAGTTCTGAATTCGCCGTCATGGTTGTTATTCACTCTGTAACACTTGGTTATATAATGATTTGTTTGATTTGGGTGTGGAATTATATAATTATGATCACTACCTATTACCTGTTGAGGCATGTTAGTGCAGTTGCAATTATTTTTAAGATTTTTACCTTATGTTTTGTATTTTTGGGTAGATATAATAATTATTATAGCTGGCGAATTCAAAACATATTTTTAGAGTAATGTCATAAAATTAAAAGTAATAGATATCAAAATAAAAAGCACATACCTAACATTGACGAATTTAAAAATGACGATATGCTAAAATAAATAGAAATTAAAAACTACAACTTTTATTAATCAGCTCTTAAACGCGTATGTTAAAAAACGAGTGTTTTTAAAAATAAGGCGGGAAAATATTTAAAATGTCAAGAGATTTGTTGTGTTGTTGATTTTTTTCAAGAGGAAATCCTGATTTACGTAAAAATTGTTAACATTTCAATTCAGTAAAAATCATAAAACAAGTAATGCAGAAACGTTGATTTGTTTATATCAACTGATTTAGCATATCAGTGGATTTAGGTTTTTGCACGACATGGCAACGCAGTTATTTTCTTTAAAAACTGTTATTTTATAAAATAAATTGGGAAATTATCTTTAAAACGTTTTTATAACCTCTAAAACCATAATTTCTACAGCCTAGAAATTAAATCCGCTTATACTCGTATAAGTCCTGGTTTACTAGATTTGTTTTTTGGCCAATAAAATAGTTTATATCAGTCTTTAACGACTGATTTAAGATATAGACAAAATACAGAATTTTTGTTTGTAAATATATGAATAAAAAGAAAGTCAACCAAGATTAATAAAATAAAGTTTATGATAAACAATGAGAAACAAAAGGAATCCAAGGGGATCTCAAATAGATTTCGAAGTAAAATGTGTAAAATGAGTATGGTATGGTTTATAATATATATTATGAAAGTTTATAAGAAAGTTTATGTGAAGGTATAAATGCATGGGCAACTATTTATTTAAAAAGCGTTTTTGTTAGAATAATTTGTCGCAAAACGTCGGCTTGTTCAATAAAAAAGTTTTAGTTTCTAGTCTATATTTATATATTTTTATTTTGTTAGAATAAATTGTCGCAAAACGTCGGCTTGTTCAATAAAAAAGTTTTAGTTTCTAGTCTATATTTATATATTTTTTTTAATATTTTTTAATTTTATAGGTATTTCATTATACAGCTTAGGTCCAAAATAAAGAACGCTTCTTTGTAAATGAGTTTTTTAAAGAGAGGCAACAGAAGGTTACTATTTTCAACGTACGATAAGCATTATTTATGTTTGATAATTGATTAAAGTCATCATTTCGTATCCATATTAAGCATTGATGTTTATAAAGGTTACGTATATTAAAAACACCCGCCAGATTGTACAACTCACTCGTAGAGAATCGTTTATTTTTTTTAACATCACTTTTAAAATGGAGTTTTGTGTTACTTCCAGCATATTTAAGCAATTACTAAAAGATCCACCCCATATTACAATACAATATCTTAGAGTCGATTCAACGAGTGAGTTATACACCAAGGCAAGAAACTTCTTATTTAGGATGTCTCTTAATTGATAAAATTTATAAATTAGCATTCGAATATTTTTAGTTATTGATTCAACATGATCATTACATCGCAAATGCTGGTCAACCACAACTCCTAAATATTTTATTTTGGATGTTTTGTTAATCTTAAGACAGTTACAATTTATTTTATTACAAGAGATTGAGTGAATAAATAAATCTGAGCTGTGAGGTTGGCCATTACTTGTTAGGGAAAAACTTATGAATTTAGTTTTAGATATATTTAAACTTAGCAGACTACTGGATAACCATGCTTGGATTTTAGTCAAGTCGGCTTCTGCTATCTCGTAAACTTGCTTCCATGAGTCTCCTACGAATACTATGGCAGTATCATCTGCATATGACGTAATTTGCCCTTTAAAGCCAGGAATTTTTAAAATACTATTTATGTAGATTAAAAATAGTATAGGACCTAGTACTGTTCCCTGTGGTACTCCCATAGTTATCATTGATGACTCACTAAAATACTGATTAATTTTAAGCTTTTGCATCCTATTCTCTAAATAGTGTTTAAAGATATTTAAAGTGTTACCTCCTATTCCATTTTCCTCCAATCTATCAAGTAGTAGACTATGAGATACAGTGTCGAAGGCTTTTGCTAAGTCTAAGAATACTACAATGCATTTCTTATTTGAATTTAAGCTTAAAGTAATTTCACTTGTTAAGTTTAATATAGCAGATTCAGTGTTTCTGTTCTTTCTGAAACCAAATTGTTTATTATTCAGTATATTGTGATAATCCAAAAATGACACCAATTTAGACCTTAGACACTGTTCAAAAATCTTGGCAAAGTTTGAAATGACAGATATGGGTCGATAGTTACTTACGTTTTTTATATCTCCGGATTTATGTATAGGGGTAACAACAGAATCTTTTCATTGAACAGGGATTTGAGAAGTTCGAAAACACAAGTTTATAATATAGTGTAAAGGTAATATTAAATGTTGATGTATATTTTTTATTAATATGGAGCTTATACCATCAGAACCGCAAGACGCATTATTTTTAGTTTAGAAATAAAAATTATGATTTCATTTTCTGACACATTTTGCAAATATAAAGATAAAAATATTTGACACCTCTTGTTTATCCGAAACCACGATGTTATTTTTATTATAAACTTCTATATGTGACTGTACACGATTTTTTGATTTAGTATTTGTAGCTTCATTCACTTGTTCCCATACTTTTTTAAAATTAGTTATATTATCCTGTATTTTAACTTTATAATAATCATTTTTAACGTTTTTTATTATGACATTGAGTTTGTTTCTATATTGCGTATATTCGATTTTAAGTTCCTCAGTATAATGCTTATTTAGTTTTTATTCAGGTAATCTCTATAATGAATACAATCAATTAGGTTATTTGTTATCTAAGGTTTTAGTTTTTTACATTTATTTTTTTCATTAATTTTTTTAATTTTTGTAGCTTTAGCAATTAACTTGTTTAATGTCGTAATAAAATTATCATATGCAGTTAGTACATCTATTTTTTTTTAAACCTCCGACCAATTCTCTCCATTTATGAACTCTTTTAGTTTAATATAATTAATAGTTTTTATCTCATATATTTTATTTATAT